AACATGTGTTTAAGCAGTTCAACCCTGGGATCAAATTTAGAAATCAGATGTATTGTCTGTCCTCTTTTTCTTCTTGCCCACTTGCAGCCTGTCTTACTTGAATCCACAGATTTTAAGAATGCCAAGGAATAATGTCATACTCCATAACTCCAATGTGTTTGTCAATGTCTTCATTTCATATGAAAAACATAATATGGCTGTAATTTCATCACCCACAGGAGATTGGATTTGGGTGTATGGCTCACCTCCACGTCCTTTGGAAGTTAAAAATCTTTTGAAAATGAAATATGAACATTGAGCTTGGATCAGTACAACAACCTCATAGTACATGTTCTTTCATTAGTGCCTCCATTAACACAGCTTCTTAAGCGCAATATAATGTTGATAATGATTAATATTACTGTTTCAGATGGATAGCCGGAGAGATGAAAGCTACCATGAGACAAATTAAGACAGTGACATGATCAAAGATGGGACAATTTAATCACATCGTGATATCAGAGGTCACAGCTGCATTGATTGAATAGTTACAATTATTAGTGACAATGAGCTTTATCAGTCATCTTGAGCTACAGTAAACTGAGGATGGACTGAGAAACACTCAAAGATTGATGTGTGGAGGAATATAACCACAGTTTGAAGTCTCATTTAAAAAACAAAGCGTTTACAGTCGGGTGGTTAATGATCTATCAGAGGAACTCCTTTAAAGTCAATATTTTGTATTCACATCAATTGAAAATACTTTTAAAGTGATTAGAAAATCTGAAAACTAAAAACCAATTATATTTTTTCTAAGTATGCAACTTTAATGTAATCCCTTCCTGTTTGCAGTGTCTATATATTACAACCACACTAAACTACTAATAGTTTTCAACAGTAATAGAATTCACATTTTTCATTTTTTAAACTTACATTTGTACAGCAGAAACTGTGAAATCTACAATAATCATAAAAGTGACAGATGTGTGATATATCCACGATCAACATGTGTTATTGTGTCAGGTTTATACTCACAGTCGTCCAGCATGTGGCTCAGGCAGTGTTAGAATCAATGTTTCCTGCTGGAGGGAGTTGCCGGAGTGTTTTTAAGGAGGTCTGTGTTACAGTTCTTGTGATCTCTGTTCTGTCCTTTCCTCAAATTAATGTTGCACTTTGCCCGTTTGGCTCCTGGCCCTGGGCAGGTCCCCCCTTCTCCTCCTCTGGATGTATGAGGTCATGAAGCAACAGTGGAGTTTGTCCTATTGTCTCATATATTCACAAATAACTGTCATTGCAACATTTATTCATAGCATGAATTGTATTATTGATTTCCATGCCCTTTCTACTTGGCATAGCTTGAGTGTGGAAAGGTTCCCAGACATCCATGTCAAAGGTTTTCTACTATACGGAGTGAAAGACAAAAACATCAATTCTAGCTGCTTTGATTTAAAATCTCAAAATGTATGTCACTAGGTGGTTTAACCTTCCTTCACTGTGAAGATACATGTGATGCAGAGCTTGACACCAGAGGACTTCTGCAGAAGGATAGATGTGTGTGTGCTCAATTTAAATCTCATCTTAAAACGAGGACAAACGTGCAAGATGACCGTATTGAAACATCATTGTGTTTTTTGAGGGAGGAGCAAAAAAAGACATGAGAAAGGATAAACTCAAAATGTTATTCAAAGCACATTATTTCTTCACTTTTGTGTATTTTAAAGCTGCAAAGGTGATGCATGAAGATGAACTTTCAGTGAAAAATACACATGTTCGTAAACACGCCTCACTGTGGAAATATGTTTAAAAAATGTAGCTGTAAAGTATATTAAATTCAAACAAAGCAAGACCAGTCATGCATGGTTAATTGAGGCCAGACAGGCCAGACACACCGTTTGAATCATTTGGACACTGTATTCTGCGAGACGTGAAAAAAACGTGTTTGTTTTTAGGAAATTCGCCCAAACAAACTGGTTGTACAATCAGCATGTTGTGTGTCCTAGTCTACAAAGAGTTTACCTTGGAGAGTAATTTGAACAGACGCGGACCTGTGCTATAGCTTGAATTGTTTAGGTTGACGTCACAGTCTCACTGATGCCTCATGTTTTTTCTCCTTCCCACAGTAAATCAAATCCTACAATTTATTATAATTGAAAAACATAGATATAGAACATTTCTATCATATAAATATCTTTTTTATTCAAAATGTTTAGCTTAAAATCAATGCTAACAAAACTCTAACTATTTTGTTCATCCATCAACATGCAAGTATATCTCTATTTAAAATAGGGGTACAAATTCACACTATTTTTTTGTCTCCATTGCAATTTCAATATATTTATAATTGGTGAAAGCAGTGAAAAATCAAACATGATTAAAGTGAGTGAAAACAAGACAGTGAAATAATGATATGTACACAGGATCTTCTTTATTGAAAGGAGTTTCATGAGATAACAGTTCTGTTTCTCAGCAGCTACAGAAAAGAATACTGCATGCACTAAATCACACGCCTTAAACAAGCCAACCAGCACACACACATGTACAAACAAACACATTTTGCACCAGTTTTCTTTTTTTTAACCACCCCACCATCTTTGTCAGAGTTATATTTCTGCATATTTAGGCTACAGTATCACGTCTTTTTTAACTTGCCAGATTTTTTTTCAGTTTGGGTACAATTACTTTCAGACAAACATAACAATAAGACTGCAAATAAATTCTACAATCATCCAAACATTTACAGAACAGTAGACCACCATTGGGCATGTCAGGATTAGTTGTATCCGTAGTGGTTTTCATTGATTAACAGCAAAAGGACATTCACATTCAACGCATGGTTTCTATAGGTTATGCAAACACACTCTACTTCAGAGATAGAATAACACTTCTCAAGTTCAAAGTCCTTTTTTTACCCTTCCCCCTTGTGAAGAGGTACAAAGAGAAAAATGATAAATAAAATATTGTGATAAAGTGCTTCATGCATTTATAAGTCTCAATATAATGAAAATAGAGGGATTGCTGGTAACGCTTCAGATTACAGCCCACAATTTATTTAGCGTAATAATTTAGTTTGTACAGAGCATTGTAAAATGCTAATTGGGTAACTATATAAAACAAATCTGGGGAAGAACAGATAAAAACAAGAGGTATAGGAGTATAATAACATATATGAACATAAGGGGAAAAAAGGTCAATACTGCAATGACAATGTCAGAATAGTTCAAATACAGAGCATTTATTCAGATGGGGGAAAATATGTCGCTAGGAAACCAAAAACAAGGCTTTACAGCCTCTGCAGTCATAGCTATAACAAAAAATAAATTATATATATATATAAATATATGTATGTGTACAGTATATTATGAAAAATAATGATTAAGTATGGAAACCATCAGACAATTTAAAACTGTGTTGGAAAATAAACTAGAAACAGTAGTGGAGCTAAAATGCCTAAATGTTTCCTTATAATACAATTATTATAGTTATACTTTGATAAAGTGCCAGACAAGGCTTAGCTCTTTTTTATAACATGGCAAAAGATACACCAAGTCTGCTGGTCCCCTGTCTGTAACAATTCATTAAAACATACTTTATGTGTAATTTATTTCTAGATCCCCTCTAAACATAAACCCTCTTACCTCGTCCCCTGTGCCTATACCCAGTGAGTGCACCATCCAAATTATGTGCACTATATCGGCAGGCTGTAATATAAAGCGTTACGGGTCTGTTCTGTTAAAAACAAGGGCCGAAAGTCAAAGAGTGAGAGAGTCTGCTTAGAAGATACACCTCCTTTTTCTCTCCCAACACATATAGCATGCAGACACACACACTCAAACACGCACACACTCTGTCATCCTGAACGGTTGACCTGGAATTTTATGAGTTTGAAGCTATATACAGTCTATGGTTTGAAGGCCATTATAAGTGTGTAAACTGTCATCAACTTATCTGCTCAGATAACTTAGACTGCACCCAATAGAACAGGATATGCAATACATCTATATTTTGGGGTCAAAGGTCAATCACCTATTGGCTGATGATGCCCTTTAGCTGTGAGTGCGCACGTGTGTGTGTGTGTGTGTGTGTGTGTGTGTGTGTGTGTGTGTGTGTGTGTGTGTGTGTGTGTGTGTGTGTGTGTGTGTGTGTGTGTGTCTGTGAAGAGAGGGATAACATGGGGCTGTAACAGAAGATAACCTAGAGTAACCCTTACTTTATGTTTCATAGACCGCCTCTTTAACTGACTCACTTCAGTCAGCATTTTGGTTTCAATCTGAGGAGGTTCGTAAAGAACGATAGTCCTCTGTTAGACAAATTCATATTGGAATGACATTTTCATTCCATGATAACACATTGGAAATCTGAGATCCAAACCATTTAAAGCACACATCAAAGCATACAGTATGCAAACATTTCACATTCAACAACTGCTGTAAATTAAGAATATATAGCATATCATTTACATTTAAAATAGAGCAAATTATAAATAACATATATTTTTCTTTTAAACTAGGATTAGCGGTATAAAAATAGTTGCTACACAATTCTTTTTTTCCCACTCTTCCATGATTTTGACTGACATATTAAGACTGAATATCTCACAGACAATCTCTGACAGGCCATTTTTTGTATGATTTACAGTGTAAAAGTCTCTCTACTTTGACAGTCAGTTGTCTAAAATCAGGAAAAATACGTTTTAAAATTAACTTTTTTATTTAAAGGTGGGGTAGGTAATTTTGGAGAAACCAGCTCGAGAATTTGAAAATACACAGCCGGAAAAAATCTGACACTTCCTTATAGAGTCCCTCCTCCAACACACACGAACGCGCTCATGACCAATGAGGGCACGAGATAAGTGTGTGCACAGATGGAAGGCTGACAGGCAGGTAGGCCATCCAGTTATTTTAGCCGGGCCGGCTAAAATGATTGGTCGTGCTTTTTACAGCACTACGGCTTCCACTGATGACATTTTTTAATGGATTTTTTGTCAAAGCACTTAAGATATTCATTGCTATCGGGATGTTAAGAGCATTCCATGGAATATAACAAAAAGTGTATCTCGAGCCGGTCTCTCAAACTTACCTACCCCACCTTTAAGTTGCTTTTCCGGTAAAACAGTGTAGTGTACCAACAGTCCAAGATGCGGTGATGACTTACGTTAACCACTGAAAACGTGAACATTTTTATATTAGACAATCTCAGTACCTTATTGACCATACTCTCGGTGAGATAGCACTACAACCAGAGCCATCAAGCCTTACGTTGATAAGTGCTTACAAAAAGTTTGATTTATTTGCTACTTTATTGAGATACACACTTTTTTGGCTGACAGTTGTTTCTTTATTGAACTAGAGGAAAACACAGTGTAATATGGAATGTAATTATCTGAAATATATCCTCAAAGGGTACCAAAATACAAAACTATAGAGTCTTGAAGAGTCTTGAGGAGATAAAGACTGTATATCCAGCATACACTTAATTTTCCTTTGTTTACTTGAGTACAAAAGGACTAATGTGGGAAATTGTCTACTGTCTAAATTAAGGCCTCGCCAAGTTTAAACTGTGGCAGGTGTTCATATGCTTAGTTAAGTGTGTGTTGGTCTACCTATGTCATAAAGTATTATATATTGCTCCTATAACTACTGTTTTCAAAAAGTACAGTATAGTAACCAGCCTGGTGAAATTATTATTTTGTATTTCTCCCAAATGTCCAACATTTTTATTCTAAATGATAAGTGCGGTGATATTCCATATTTTCTAATTGTCAACAAATATACCAAAAGACAAAAAACAGCAATAAGTATAGAAATGAGTGATTAGTAGAAACAGGAATCTACTGTTAAGCCTGATATACAGTAGCTGCTTCCTCTTTGCAAAGGACTTCCTTTGTTTCAAAACACACCAATGAGAAACACAGCTGCATTGGATAACATATTTCCTCATTACCATGTAAAGGGCACTTTTACACCAATGAATCCCACATACACCATCCTGCTGCTGTAAAAACTCACACAACACTATATTATTCTACGGCTGCTAGTAGTCCCTACAAATGCGCTGTTTATTTCTATTTTAGGAGTGTTTCCTAAATAATACAGTAGCTAGTAGTTTTAAGAAAATAATTAAGCCTTTTACTACGAATGCAACAATATTTGCTGGGCCTATTTTTAAAGGATTTACGTATTCTTCAGTAGGCTTAAGACTGAAAGCCACAGACAGGCTCGGCAGGTAATAAAATACTCAGACAGAATTAACAACTGTTGCTTTTTGGTGTATTTACGAGGTTTGTTGACAATATATATTTTTTATTATATCACCCTTATATATTAAACAAAATACATTTAAGAATGCCCATTTTAACTTGACTTACTGACTAAATTTAGACATTTCATGGTAATATGTACCCTCACTGCTCTCTTCCATTGCATGTAATTCCCAAGAAAAGCCAAAGACCAACATCAAAAAACAACATGCAGTCAAAAAGTGTAAATATTAGTAACGTGAGCTTGAGGTTCACTGTTTTCATGTTGTACATCATGGAGTTTTCAACTCCATATGCATGTTTTAGAATGGTAATAATGACAAAGTCAAACATTAGCTTACAGTTGTCCTGGTTTTATGTCCACCGTAATACCGTCACTAAGACAAACAGCACACACTAGTGGTTACCTACAGCACTGCACCTTCTCTTCTCTGTGGCCCCTTTTCATGAGGGAGCGTGTGCAGCAATATTTATTATTGTAAGCTGCCAAGTCGGGCATTTGAGACGCAGTGCCACGGATCTTACTGATACCCACATACACCCCACATCATTGTACAAGAAGGAAAAGGATGAGCAAGCAGGGAAAGGACAGGGGACAGAGGAGAGATAAAGGTCTGTTTACAGCAGGTGAGGAGAAGAGGGGAAGGAGAGGAGGGGCCGACAGTGATCAGCTGCATGCAGATTTACAGAGGAGGCCTCAGAAAAAGCATCTGCCTGGAGAGAAAGAGAGACAAACAGAGAAACAAAAAGTAAGAGCAACTGTCAGATACGTTTGAGAGAAACAGGGAACGAGAGACAGCAGCCGGTGAGTCATGCCAAAATAGCCAGAAGGAACATGTCTCAAATCATCTTATTTTGGGTGTCTTCACTGAGAGCTTGTTGTATTTGGAAACGGCATGGAACACTCCGGGTCCAAACTTAGACTTCATAGGATGTAAAACCAACACTGTGAAACACTTGCCCTGACATTTCGACATAAAGCGCTTGGAAAGCAGTCTGCAGGTTGAGTGTTATATAAAGTGTCACCACATTGAGCAGTTCTACCTAAAGTAGAAATATAATTAAGGTTTGAATAAAGTAAAGCATTATTCCTGCAAATTGAGTCTCCAAATAAATGAACTGTTGTCCCTGGGTCAGGTGATGTTTAATAGGATTAACTGGAACCACTGAATAAAGTAGTAGGATGAAGTAAAAACCCAAAGACGGTATTAATTGGACTCCCTATTGTCATATGCGCCTTTCCAAGGGAATTTCTTTTGAATAATCTTTCAACCTCAGCTGGGATTTATGAAGTAATTGCAAAAAAATAAAAAACAAAGAGTGCTGATCCGAGACAGACTCTATTGTTTGGTATGTTTGTGCCTCTAGTACTTCACAGTGCAGTCCGGGCCAGAGTTGTTATTTTTAGCATGGGAAACCTCAAACAACACCCGTCCCTTCACACTGGCAGATGGCAGCTTTTCTGCAAAGCACCTGAGGGGCCGAAACCCAATAACCTAAAAAACAGTGATGTTTTTATTCTCTAACACAGGCTCTGCTCCCAACCCAATACATTCCTGCTTATACGGCTTTAATATTTGATGAAAAAATGATGACGGTAGCTAAGTAAAGACCTTGTAGAACTCAAAGTATGAATCAATCTGCATTTATTCAAGTAATAATTGATGAGCAGGGTTGTTAAATGTAAAGTCCAGGGGGTCCGTTTTAACATTAAATGCAAATACTTTAATAATCACAGCGAATGTATACCCATGCAAGAGCAGAAATATGAGATTTGTACGTTTTTTCTGAACCATTAATGTGATAAATTAAAGAGTTGCTGTGTTTTCCGTTCTCTTACCTGCTCAGGACTATTAGCTGGTCGCGGCCTCGGAATGCAGGCCGTAGAGTTTGGCTGGATCCTGATTGTCGCAGGCGTCCGTTCTGGGCACAGAATTCACATTCAGACACATGCTATCCAACACATCAGAATCACAGGCGGCCCCGGCACCAGATTCATGAGCGGCAGCAGGAGGATGATGAGGAGGAGGAGGAGCAGCGGTGACAGCATCCACAGGGAAGCAATGAAGCAGAGAGACATCGTGAGCGAAGCAAATCAGTGATGTCATAGTTATTAGTCATAAAACACAAAGGGGAACAGTGCATGCAGGAGTGTGTCAGTGCCATACTTTATAATGATCTATGCCTATCACTGACTGTTATCATCATGCTCGATGCAAGCTATCTCCCATTTGAAGTAAATATTGCAGGACATTCATGTAATGCTGCAATAAGGCCATTAAAAGGCCTGACATTACTCTAAAATAAATCAGTTTCCAGAGAATCATACACAAGTTACATTTCAGAGGTTTCTGTCGACTGAGAAAATGGAAGCTTGCAGTAAGACAACAACAGGTAGCAATGTGTGTTATGCAGTAATCAATGAGGGTGCAGCAGTCTTACCTGTTGTCATTTATATCTGTGGTGTTTCCTGTGGACAGAGAGAGGTGCATAAGGAGGCAGGCAGGTGCACAGTGAGAGTGTTAGTGGTGTGCAAATTAGGGAAGAAGTGGCTTTTTCTCAAATAAACATATGAGTTTAATTGAAACAGCCCAAAGCCCTTGGAGATATGGCTTTGAAAAAGCAGCTGCATTATGTGTTGGTTCTCAAACAAAAGAATCCCCATGCACACATGACTGAAGACAGTGTTGGCAGTCATTTTCAAACAACCCATAATGTGCATTTCCCTGATAATAAACCCAACAAGCTAGAAGAAAACACAACAGTAGCACATTTTCGAAATTCAGGCAGCAGAAACTGGTTAACATGAGGGACAGTTTGTGGTCACGGTCATTAAATCATTGTTAACGTCTTTGTAGTGTTTGTAACTATCCAGCAGCCCATCCACCTGAACAGTCACTTATCAGTGGTATAAAAACATTTGCTACTAAATATAAACATGGTCATTTCACGCTGTTTTTTTAAATGACCGATGCTGTTGTTATCCTGAAGAGGTTTATTATTAGCACTGTTGCCAGAGATTCCATGTCAGGAAAATATAAACATGAGTAATGTTAAACTGTTTAAGCAAACAACCAGCCAATAGACTTACTCAATTACATTACCGCTAATAATAACAATAACAAAGTACTACAAATCAAAATTGTAAAATAAAAATAAAATATGTATACTGTATATTCCTCCTATTCAAAGCTCTGTTGCATAAAACATATGCCCAAGCCCAACCCAATAACAGATGTCATACAGGTAGACCAACAGCGGCACAGAATTGCACTTACATTAATAAAAGCACACCATTATGGCTCACTTTGTAGTCCCTGCATCATAGTTGCATTCTTTTAATTATTTTTCATGCATTTTATAGGCGGTTTAATGGCTAGTGCTATGCCAAATGTCCTTCTATAGCAGCTACTGGAAAAACCAATCTTTAAAAGGGTCTGTGTTTTCCCTGAGCTACCCTGAGAGGGATTCATCTCTCAAAATATTCACTTGACTTTTTATGTGAAAAATATTGCCATCCAGATGAAGGTGTTTCAGCTGTTTTTCGAGTGCCACACATTAAGAAGTCTATGTGCACTGATTAATTTATATTCATGGCAGAGCGTTTACTAAATGTGTGTGCTTTAAACTTGATGAGTTGGCTGCTATCAGGGAGCCTCCCGCCTGACTGGATTATAAGGCTGCTCAATTTAATCTATTTATAAAAAAAAACTAAATTGGTAGTTCATAAAAATCTAATCCTTACAGGAACTGTCAGGGCTACACCTCAATAGACTCAAAATACTGAAAAAGTAAGTCATTTGAGGTACAGCCTTGCAAAGCTACCTTCCTATAAGCTCTTTTTGAAATGCATGACACTCAGTAGAATTATATCTCAGAGTGAACATTACTGGTGAGGGACCAGAAAGAAATGTACCTCTGAATTTGACTGGCATTACAGAGCAAGAGCGCTTTCATTCAAAAATGCCATACACTGAATGACCATTTTGGGGAAAAATACTAGATAAAGTGTTAAAAACGAAATTAAACTGAGTTAATCTAAAATGACTGATATTGTATCCTTGATTATAAAAATCTTCACAAATCTCTTGAGATGAATCATAGCTTCTAAGCAGCTGTCGGTAAAGAGTATGTTTATGCCAAGAGGAGAGAAATATCAATGTTTTCTCCGTATGTTGTTGTTGGCACTGGTGAAAACCATCTGAACCACCATCATGGGAAGCGACAAAATAAGAGCAGCCTGTTTAAATGAGTAAAGTGTTCACTGGATAGCATCACTGATATTAGTGTTTTAATAAAAGAAAGGTACATGTCGCAGCAAAGTGAAATGTTGGCTGTGACCCAGTTTGTGACTTTTATTGACACTCCTGGGGAATTGAGGAGGTGGGGTGTTGTTACACAACTCTACAACTGTCATGGCTAGGTCAGGGGCTGAGGTGGGCTCTCAGGCTGCAGACAGACTATCTGTCGGCTGAGTAATGAGTGTGAGGATAATCTATCTCCCCCAGAGTCGCCTGCTGATGAGAGCAGACACAAATATGAGGGTGCAGAAAAGTCTCAAGAAGCAGCAGCAATGTCCTCAAAACAACAAAGAGAATTTCCTCCGTGAATGTTAAAAAACAAGGCTTTATTCCATAAATAAATGCTATCCCGAGGCCATTAACCTATCCTGAGCCTGTTACAAGAAGATGAAAGCAAAATGACAACGTAACAGCGGGGTGGATTGATAGCAGCAGGCAATCATTGTAAACTGCTTTAACAACCACCACTCTGTAAGGGTATATAAATCATCATTCAAACATAATGGCTGGTATGAAAGCATTACAGCCATTATAGAAAGCACTAAAAATAAAGAGGTCCTAATAAGAAGGGAATTCAACCCCACTGATCTTAATCATAATATTTCACATTACAATAAAAAGGCACATGTGAACAAGGCTCACCGTTTTCTGAATCGAGCATCTCTGCCGTGTTCTTGTCTGCTCGACTCTGAGGTTCAGCAGGAAGCCTTCAAACGAGACAAAGATGTTTATGTACATTTTGCTTCTGGGATATTAGTTTCAAAATCACGGGATCAATAGGGTCTTTGAGTTAAATGAGAACTTGAAAATAAAAGTGTACCCAAGTGCTCACTCGGCCACTAAATAATACATCAATGTCAAAACGGATTCACTGACTGTAAGAAAGAAAGGGCAACATTGATGCAATACTCGATAGAAGAGAAGTATACTGGATATTTAATTAGCAAACTTTGTCCCCGAGAGGATTGTAAAATGAGAAGGTGACCTACTTGCTGCATGGTAAACTCAATATACAAGTAGTGCATATGATTACAACACTTTAAATGACTTATGAAAGCTGCAAGGCCAACGTTTTCTTTAATCAGAGATGCAAGCTCTGTATTTATTCTTTTAAATAGATTTAATTATGTGATTCTGACGTTTTTTTTTTATTCTGTAAAAAACATTATGTGGCAGATTGTCACATGAGACACTCCCACATGAGAACAATTATCCCACACCTGTGAACAGAGTGGGTAGAGCAGGATCTATTTAAAAACAGCGGTGCGACAAATGTGTTAAACTGTCTCGACGAAGGTTGAGAGTGACTAAAAGGTTAGTCATTGGTTAATATTGGTTCTTATTTTTGAAGAATCACTGGTCTGCATTTCAACGCATTTAGATGTGCAAATGTGCCTTAATAAAACAGATAAAACACAATGCTTTTGTCTACTAACACGCTAAAGTGTAAAAAGCTGGGCTGCTTAAGCTTTGTACTAAGAACACAGATATATCTAGATACAGTATACTTTGTATAAGAACATCATTATTTGCCTTGAGCATGATCTATTATTTCTGACTTTTGAAAATAATTCATAGTTTTCAATGGTTGGCAAAATAGTCCTGACTAAAGATCGCCCTTTAGCAGTTTCCAGAGCTTTTCTCAAGCATTCAACTGCATTGTCTTCACTATCAGCAGATAGTCATGATAACTGCACTGCCAATACAACATCTCTGTAAATAACTAGTAAGATGTCCAAACCATTATGTTCAAGGATGTGTATAATCACCTGCAGGATATTACTCCATGATGTTAAATTATCAATTCTACACATGCAGCTGGATTTGCTCACATGTCTGTCCTGTCCTGAGGTCCGTTGTCGTGTGAGTCGCTGTCTTGAGCTCCGTTGTCATGTGAGTCGCTGTCTTGAGCTTCGTTGTCGTGTGAGTCGCTGTCCTGAGCTTCGTTGTCATGTGAGTCGCTGTCCTGAGCTTTGTTTTCGTGTGAGTCGCTGTCCTGAGCTTCGTTGTTGTGTGAGTCGTCGACCTGGGGGTGGGGGTGTTTGGTGGGGCTGCTCTGTTTGGAGTTGGCCTCAGGTAACCTGGGCTCACTCTCTGGTGTAGCAGGAGCAGCTTCTTGTTTCATGTTGCTGTTGTGGAAGTCAGCTTTATAGAAGGCAACGGGGTGATCGCTGTAGCCTCGGATGTAGAAGGGGTTGGTGGGAGAGCACGAGTGGCCGGCACGCACAGGCTTGGCTAGAGATAAAACAGAATGATTTATTGATTTATCCATTCAACCATAAAAGACAAAAAACATCATATTTGTGCTGCCAGAAGGGGTATTGCTAACCTGTCGTCTCTAGGACAGAGTAATACATTTAATGTGACTTGAATACTGAGGATATATTAAAGTCCAAGTGAAACTGGCTGCCGCTGAATATAGATAACCTTTTTTTAATTAGGGAAACCAAATGACTGCAATGCTCTCTTTCACAAAGGTGCCCTGCGGATAAGTTATAATAAGGGCTTAAATCAAACACAAATTACAATATACAAAACAAAAAAGTGCATATCTGCTCTATAAATCACTTCTCAAAGATCTCCTTAGAGATAAAAAGAGAAACCATTATACTTCCAGGTCTTTAACATTTCAGAAAAGAGTAAAAGATTTTTAAGTACAAGGTGATGCCTTTAAATGTCTGGTTTTGTCAGTCCAAATCTGTCCAAGTTTAATATGATAAGCAGCACATCTTCATATTTGAGAGGCTGGAAACAGCATTTACTGCAATTTTAGCAGTAAGTAGAAACAGTAATTTAACCATCAATTGATTATCAAATAGTTGGCTTATATTTGTATTTTAATCGACCGATCTATTGTTGCAGCTTTAGATGGAAACCTTGTTTTTATGTAGCCCATCAAATTTAGCATAAAGCAGTAAAATCAACATTTTATCATTCTGTTTTCCAACACAGGAAACACACATTAGCTATCCAGCTGAAGTCTTTTTGATCCAACTTCAAAACATCCAAGCATGAACACACTTATTGCAAGATCTTTTTTTCCCTTTATAACTTTAATATACACCAACACATCACAGTTATTCTGAGGCGCATTAGTATAATCCCCATGGAAAATCATTGTTCTAAAGACTCTCAAATCAATAGCTAATTTTTCTCACAGCAGCATACTGTAGGCATCTCATTTATTTCACAGAATTCAAACGCATAAGTCCAATTACCTTCAATAGACACAGTGATGAAGCAAGTGTTGGTGATTAAAATGGATTACAATGTTTTTCTAATCATTGCATTTCTCTCGAAAGAGCTCTTTGTTTAAATCCTTCGAAAACAAATTCAGCCCTCCATCACATCTATCTGTTTGGTATTATAATTATTGTAACAATTATTGGCAACTAATATATGTTGTTGAATTTAGTTTAAAAACGTTCTCAGGACCTTGCTCATGCATGATGAGGTGGAGTATGAGAATGGAGGAAGAATATACTGTAGGTACTGGAAATTTCACGAAAGGAATTCTTGCACCATGATAAAATATTTGTATTGCAGTACATTCCAAGTGCAAATTGAATATCAGAAGCAGATGAAAAGGTGCGGACAGATGGAGAAGGGTGTTAGTATATGTAACCTTAGCAGCGGATGTGGAGAGAATTAGCATTTTACATATTAATGATTTGCATAAATCTAAACAGAATATTGAGACATTTGTCTTTATAATTGACTTTAATTTGAAATTACTGTTGAAATTAGATGCATACTGTAAAGAATACGAATAGTTAAAACCAGGGATACCGCATGAGTTTTAATGGACATTGTTTAATTGGCTGAAAGAGAAATTATCCTTCAAATTTTCCATAAAATAAAATGATATAAAATAATTTCAGTGGACTCATGCTGACACGTTTGCTTGAACATACAAATCCTTTGTTTTGAAAGCATAGAGATGCACTGGCAGAATAATTCACCTCAAGCAAGATGGAGTCATTTGAAGTTGTGGTGCTGCACAGTTTAAATGACTTATTTCTTTGAGAAGTAATAAAAGCCATACTTAAGCAATTGAGAAAAACTGTAATATGCCTCTAAATAACCTTAATGTCATGAAAACAGCTGTGTGTGATTTGATCGTGGACTGAATTACATAAGATTCAGATATACTGTATTTTCATTGCATATTGTACAAGTACTGAGGCAATGAAATGCACCAGTTTAGCCCTAAGCCTGTTTTTCAGGTCTCAGGCTCGAAAATGACATTCCCACAAATGACCATATCTTCCCTTCTAAAAGGGTTAAATTAATAATCTTTTTTTTCAAAGTAATGATAAACCTGAGAGTTGGATGTAGAAAAGTCAGAATCAATATAGATGTTTTATATTTTAAAGAAAATTCAGATTGAACATAGTAAAAAACTGTAAATTATAGTGTCCGTCCAAAAATTATTTTTTACTTATAGTGAAAACTACCTTTGGATGATGGTAAGGTAGACTAAATACTTTAGGAATCCAAAGTACAACATATAATAAGTACCCTGTATCAAGATTGATGCAAAACAAGGGACATTTGACTTTTTTAGAGAGGTTTAGCAAAAGAAACTCCACCTCTGAGGTGATTTGGGTGGAAATGGGGGTTTTACCGTTTCTCTGGAACCCATTGGTCGATTTTGGTGATTAACATCTCTTTCTGACCGTTAGAGCCAATAGAATCGAAGGGGAATCTCCCCACACACACGGTAAAACAAAAAGGTGGGGGCTTCGTGCACGCAGTTTTGCTCCAGAGTGAAGCTGTCTGTAGCTCTGACATCTGGAAACCGAAAAGCAGGTCTATTGCTCATGGATTATCAGAAATCATTTCAAAGGGACACAGACACATTGGAATAACCTATGGATTAACTTCAGCACTGTTTTTATCGTTTTAATGCCATTGAAGACCACTTTTGACCAGACTAAGAGCAGCCAGGTGAGCCATGTTAGCGTTTTTAGCTACCTAAGGCGCCATATGTTTTGATGTCTCGTTCTTGTTATATCTCTGAAGAGTTCGTATAATTGCAGTGATAATGAAGGGTACCGGCCTCCGATTCTGTTGTCTCTTCACAATGTGAAACGCATGGGTTGAGAATGCTGGCAGCAAGATAAATAACATAAGGTTTTGTGAGCTGAAGTTACTGTACTGTTACTTTGTGAGTGAATTTCCGAGTGAGTGAAGCTACCTGTTTCCTAGGTGCTGCGGGCAGTAGGGCCTGGCTCATGCTTCGTGGCATCTACAGGCAAGTGGCAAGTACTGTCCGGCATCCTGCCACAGAGGCCGGGCTACTCCCGTGGTATCTGTGGCCAAGTAATATGCCACAGATCTGTGGTATCTGTGGCAAGTATACCTGCCACAGCCAACAACTTGGCCGTGGCAATAAATTCCACAAACCCATGCCAAAACTTGCCGTGGCTAAGCTATGATGCCACAACTTAATATATGCCACAACTTGCCGTGACCAAGTATATGCCCAGAACTTTGCCGGGTGGCAAGTAAGATGCCACCAAAGTTAAGAGTTACAGAGAGAGGTTTCTACGGTAGCTGCCACAACCCGCCTTTCCGTGGCAAAATGCTGATTCTATTTAGAACCGTTATTTAGTCGCGTAAAATGGTCGCCTGTTTTGGCATGACTTTATCGGACTTGATCCTGTAACACAAGACGTGATGAGTCTGTTACTGATGGTCCGATCATATTTTTCAAAAAGATTATATGTTCAGATTTATTACGTTTGGAGAACGTGTTTGTTAAAATAAATAAACGTTCGCTACTTTTTTATGATAATCACTCAAGATATATTCATTAGTGAAGTTGACATAAAGATCTACAATTGTTTGACCAGAGTGGGAAAATAAGGCTAAACCTGTATACTCAAGTTCTTGTACTTGGTGATTTAGAAATACCCTAGTCTGGTGTATGTTAGTTGAGTAGTAAAGGTGGGTATGTTACGTAAGTAGGGCTACTTACCCGACAATGACATTCAGAGTACAAGTTTGTGTAATTGTAAGCACTCCCTACATTTATTGTTAATACGCCACCTTTAGTTACTTACTACAGAATTTCTGAATCTAATGGATGGAACATATAATCAGCTCTTACATCAGACTTTATAGTTTTACTCCTGGAGGTAAATTCACAAGATACCCCTGACTACAGTATCACAAAGTCATTAAAACTAGCTGAAAACCTTTACAGCTTTGAGAAACCTTTCATGATCAATCAAATTATAATGAAAACATGTTAATATACATTCTTAAGTATATTGTTAATGCTAACCATATTTGCGCTTTTAGCTTGAGTAACATTTTTAATGCTGCTTTAAAGCTTGTAACAGAGTATTCCAACATTTAAGGTTTGGCTACTTCTACTTTTTAACTCACACGTGGAACCGGCCCAGGGGTCGCTGTATAGCCAATAACCTAAAACCCAAAACCGCAACGTGTCAAATGAAACGAATGCAGTGATTTTTCAAAGGGTACAATGTTATTTTATTTATCATACTAGAACACAAATGAGTGTCTTGCCACTACACCGGTGCGCCGTGGCAGTCGTGGCCTTTGGCAATTTTGTGGCGATCTCCCACGAGGCGCCACTAACGTCAGTGGCATCTGTGGCAAGTATAGCAGCAGATGCCACACA